ATAGAAAAATGATATATAGTCTGTACATCTTATACATATTAATAAGAGGTGGGTCAATATATATATTGAATATAGAATAACTTTACAGTTTATTATAATTCAATACAGATTAGATTAGAAAACTACTTTTTCATTATTTAAACACTTGAAGAACCTGAGAAAACCCAGGTCTTCAGCAGAGAGCCGCATGATAAGTTATCCTTCTCTTTTCCTGTTCTCGGTTGCTCTCCTCACTGTCTCTCACAAATCACCTATTCGATTGAACAAGGCATGTTTCCTCAACTAACCCCAATTTTGTTTCTACATTACTCTCTCTTAAACCCTTGCACTGGCCAAAAAAAAAAAAAAAAACCCTCAAAATTTTATTCTGTAGTTGGCATTTTGATATCAGTTTGCACTTCTGACTACATGGTATTTTTTTAGCGACTAAATTTAATATTTAATTTATTAATTATTGACGGCCAACTCTGCCATGGGCGGGACGGCATGTTATTGCATTGATGTCGAAGGTACATTGAAAAGTAAGATTTGATGATATATTTCAAAAATGGCCGATATTCATAACATATTCCCCCTTTTTGAAGGAGCAGTTGATCGAGGGCCGAAATTATTTTGAAGTGATCATCCTCTAGAAATTGGGTGGTACGAGTTAATTTCCAACTTTACAATTTCTTATATTTATTTAGAGTTACAACCATAATTAATCATCTTTTACATTAAAAATCTATATATCTACGTACAGGCTCGAGCTTATTTTGAGCGTAAATTCCTAGCACATTCACCGAATGATGCCAAAACCGCAGTGCGCAACAACTCCACTAACAGAATCTTGTGAGAATAGTCGTGGATTCAGCAGGATCCATTTCTGGCACCTTCTGAAAACTTCTAGCACATCCCGAAAACTTTACTAGAATTAGTGGGGTCCATAATTCCATCATCACAAAGTCTTCGTCAAAATAGTCCTCCGAAGAGCCTCGCGAAAGCTTTGTTCCGTCCACATAAGCTTTATGTGTACTCGTAGAGGACTAAGTGCCTATATATATCAATGACAATATTGATGGTCATATGCTTAGATTGTCATTGATATGATTATGAGCAATTAGTCGTTCACGAGCACGCATGAAAGCTTCTGAGGGTGAAATAAAGCCTCCCCGATGCTCTTTTTAATGACTATTCTAGCAAGATTGTGATGACGGAATCATGGGTTCTGCTAATTTTAGAAAAGTCTACGGTCCTGCGTTTCAGCTAACACCAACCGTCGATAATGGATATGGTGTGTTTAGGATGTAACTATAATTATTTTACCTTCTACAGCTACAAAGATGAAGAAATAATGTGATAAAAATCTCTATCAGAGACCATTGCAGCCAAATGCGCGCTGATCATTTAACTACAAAACATGTTTGTCATTTGATTTGTAGGGATGTTTTATTTGAAGATAACAGGCTTTAGTTCGAGATGCCTGGAGCATTTAGCCTTTTCTTTTTTTATTTGTTGTCCTTTAGCAAAATTTCAAATTGGGATCATTGATTTTGTTAGGAGTCGAGTTTTGTTGATTCCTTGTAATGCACTAGACTTTAGTTCATTAAATTCATTCACTTGCATTTGCAGTCTTATGGTTGTTCTCAAAATTGATTTAATTTCTTGCTCAGAATCAAAATGGTGGTAGTTTGTGCTAAGGGAAGTGATACTTGATACGATTTACTCATTAATTAGAAGTTTCGAATCTTTGATTTGTTCTACCCGCAGGTGAGGTAGGTAGGTCGGCAGCTCCTCCGTTTTTGCATCTTTGATTCTGGTCTGTAGATAGCAAATTATTCTTTATTATTATTATTTTTTATGTGTATCTACAATACTTAACCGTGTACTGTACAGCTTATATATATATATATATATGTTTAACTGTGAATAATAAAGTTGTTCAATTCGGCCATTCACCTTGTCCTATTAGTGGTATTAGAGCCCTAATCTCTAACGAGTTCCCCTTGATTCAATATGGCCGACAACACACCTTCAAGCTCACCTTCATCAACCTCCAAAACCTCGACCAGGAAAACTAATACCATTGTTGTCACTGCCTCCCATGGACCCCAATCCAATAGAAATATTATTGTCACATCCAATCTAACTCAATTTCCACTCAAACTCACACCAAACAATTATTTTACTTGGAACAATCATTTTTTGATAACTATTTACAGATTACTTAATTTCTTTAAAGAAACAATTAATTCCCATAGAATAGCTTTCTTTAAGAATAGAGTTTTAATAGAGAGGTCTAATGGGTTAAAGTTTTATTTCTATTCTATTTAAACTCCCATCTTATGCTTACATGGCAAAGCATCACTTAATTGCATAGCAATATGACGGCTATTATTTTTTATTTCATACTCTTGAGCATGTACAGTTGGGTTAAAATTCACATATTGTATGTTGGGGGCTAAAAGCCATGAAGACAAAAACTTTGTGACCTCTCACGGGTTAAGCCGATATTCTTTTTATTTATCGTTATTTACTTAAACCCTTGAAGAAATCGACAAAGCCATTTCTAATGGCCAAAACAAAGTGCCTTTTTTATGAATCAGGATTAATCCCACCTACCCAAAGCTTTAAAAGGTAAGTATAATTTCCCTAATTTAACTAGGTTTTCTTTTGAGAGTGGTTTATA